GCATGAAAAAGAGAGAAGGGTGATGGGGAGAAAAAGAGCATATGAACATTTACCATAAACTACAAACAAACACTGCAACATATCAGAACAAAGCTATTTCATAATCAAATATCAAGTTGACTGATAGTTTGAAGATATGGAAGCAGGAATATATAGTGGTAAAAATCTGAGTTCATTCTTTCAAATGGAAAAGGTCATCATCTCTCACCATCAAAAAGTGAATGCCCACGGCTTCCAATAGAAGTTTTTACCACACTCATTGAATAAATGACTCTCATAAGCAAAGGTGGAATGAGAAAAAGATAGCTAAGACTAGTAACAAATGGTTAACATGAAAAACATAGTACCTTCCTCCTTGATATTGTCCTTGTTAATTGTGCAGAAACCCCAAAATCTGCAACCTGTTATGAAGTCAATAATTGAAATTACACCACCAGAAGTAAATGCAAGCAACTCCACTCACTTATACAAATTATGAAGGCACTTAGAATCCTCTTTGACCAACCATACCTTAACATCACCATTCTCCGTTAGCAAAATGTTTGCCGCTGCCAAAATTAGTAGAAGATTGTTATTCCACAGTTACTTGAACTCAGTAAAGCAAACTACACTTTCCGAAATCTGAAGCCTCAAATGAGGAACAGTGTATATGAAATAAGAAACAAAATTTCCAAGAACAGCTTATAATTTTAAAACAATTTTCTAGAGCCAAAAATGCTGAAGAATTCCCAATCTTTATGTCAATGATTCTTAAATATGTTAAGGAGAAAAAAAAAACCTTTGATATCTCTGTGAATTTTCCCTTCATTATGCAAGTACTCAATTGCATGCAGCAAATCACGTGAAATGCAAGCAATTGACATCTCATCCAGTGGAGGACCTGATTGGAGCTGCAGAAGTAAACATTTGTGTTAGCTTTAAAGAGAAACAATGGACCATATTGATTGAAACAGGAAGAAACATTACCCAGAACATAAGTTCTCAGGTTTAGCACATGGTCAAAGCACACATATAAGTACATAATTTAGCAAAAGCAACTCAATCTACAACTCTCACTATAATCTTGCCTTGGATCCTGCCAGCAGTTTACACTGCATGATTGCAATTTTCGTTTTGTTTATAGAAAAAAAAAAAGAAAGTGATCGCAAGTGACAAGACATTTATTGTCTTTCAAGTAAAAAAGGGACATCCCTAAAATGCGCGTGATGAGCCTTAACAGAGAGATCCCCAGAAAGTCATTCAATCACAGACAAACAAAATAAGATAAACCTTATTTTTCAAATGCTCCCTATTGCTCCAACCACAGCATCCACAAGCCGGCAAACAAAACACCTCTCCAGAGCAACATCTCCTTCCTTAACTCCTAGAGGGGAAAAGAGATAAAGCACTCAAGAGAATGGTGACAAACCCTACTGAAAGTATCAAACAGTAGTCCAAATACTCCAGGCCAAACCACAACGCAAAATAACAGTGAGATGTAACACATACAAATGGGGAAAGAGTAGAGTAGCGCCTACGCCACTTGAAGCAATGATTTGTTTTGACCCAAAAACAATTTTTCAGACAAAAACCTTAAGCATAGACGTTTACCTCCAAAAAATAATAGGTGAATACCACATCCTGATCAGTAGAACTGTGAGTGAGATTGGTTAAAAAAAAGGACTAAGAGGTACTACTGATCAGTTATCACGAATTGGAGGAGCAATAATTGCACCAAGAAGAACTGATTAAAACTGCCTTTACCCCAGATTCTGGGGAGACTGAGGAATCCTTGCCCATACTTGCTCCAACTATATGAAAACCAGTTTTATTTTATTCCTGAATTTACTTGCTTTGTGGCATTGTTATGGCAGGTTAGGCCCTCATCCTTCTCTCACACCACCCATTATCACAATGCAGCCTGCAAGAGAGCATGGAAGCTCCCCTTTGGTGGTCAGGCAAGAAACACCATTGAAGGCTCAGCTCCTCTCCCACACACATACACACACACAAAACAAAAAAAAAAAAAAAAAAGCAAAGCCAAATTTCATATTGGAAAATTTGTTTTAGAAAAAAATTATTGGAAAATGAAATAAAATCCTATAACAAGGGTAGGCTCTAAATTGAAGAGTTTCCACTCACATAATACTAAATATCACTATCAAAACAACAGAAGGAAACTATTAAATAAATTTCCCTCAACTTAAGGAACACTAGAAACAGTAACATCAAAATCCATTTGATAAGTCATAGCATGCATTCAGAAAAGGAGGGACCTGGAACCCAACAAAAAAAAAACTAGGTGAAAGCAAAATATATCTCGAACATACAGAAAATGTCATATAGAGCAACTTTTTTTACTAAAGATGATAACTTAGTTCTGAAATTGAGCAGTCATGTCTCTGCAGGAAACATTTGATTACACAAAATAAAAAAAATAAAAAAAAAACAAAAAAAAAATGCCACAACAAAAAGCTTGTATTAGATTATGAAATCCTCTTCAGAAAATGGGAACTTGAATTTTAGGCAATGCACACATAGAAGTTTAGAAGCAAGTAACTCACTAAGTCAGCAACAGAGCCACCAGCCATGTATTCCATAATTATCCATAGTTTAGTTTGGTTGAGATAGGAACCATAATATTCAGTGATATATGGAGAACGACATTGTGACAAAACCGAAATTTCCTGTCATAAAAATGACATGAGCAATATTTTCATTACACTGTTCTCTAAAAAATAAAGAATAATTAAATTGCTGTAAACTATTTATGAAACTTCAAAAGAATCTGCTGAGTTTATACCTTCTGAATGTCCTCAATTTCATCCTCCCTGAACATGAAGAAAAAGAAAATTTAGACATACCTTGCGAAGCAGGAATACTAGATCAACAACTGAAGCACATTACATGCTCCAAAGCATTAGAAGAAGAAAGTCTAAGCTGCTGACGGTAAATTAAATCTAATGTGCAACCATAAAAGGAAACAGAAAAAAAATTGCATTTAACTGCAAAGTTCAACAAAAGATAAGAGCATCGTGGTGTGTTTGGACACTGACAAATGCATCATTTTACACAAACTTGGCTCTTTTTTTTTTCTGCACCAGAGGAATACATCCAAAACAAGCAACCATCGGAATAGTACTTCATCCAGCAGCTGCAACATAGCCTAAAAGACTATCTATACAGCACCCAAACATGTGATATCAATTGAATGA